AATCAGGTCAATGAAGAGAAGGAGCAAGAAGATTCCATTGTAAAGGCTGTGAGAGAGACTAGAGGCTGGCACAATTGAAAAGTAGAGAAATACATTGTGTGGCTGAAAGGGGAGAAAGGAAGGAGGCATGGTGTGGGGTGAGCTGGAGGCAGCAATCATCTAATACAGGGAGTGGCAGGCCATGAGCAGGAATTTGAATTTTATTCGCAGGGCAATGGAAAGCTGCAGAAGGTTTTAAAGGATGACCAGATTTGCAATTTTTAAACAATCATCACCGACTCAATGGACATGAGCTTGAGTAAACTCTGGGAGTTTGTGATGGACGGGGAGGCCTGGCATGCTGCAGTCCATGAGGTTGCAAAGAGTTGGATATGACTAAGTGAACTGAACTGAACTGAACTGGGGATAGATAGATAGCCAATGATGTGTAAGTATAGCCTACTGGTAGAAGTTGAATTTAGGTGGTGGGTATAAGGGTGTTCAGTATAAAATCATTTCAACTTTCCCATATGTTTAAACATTTTAAATTAACATGCTGGGAAAATCTGGCCACTATGTGGAGGGTAGATTGAAGGAGGGCAAGAGCGGCTGCAAAAATAGCAGTTAGGAGACTTGTAACAATTCCAGAGAAGGGTAATGGTGGCTGATACCTAGGTGGTGGCATGGAGATGGTGAGAATTGGACAGGCTTTTGAGATCTTTAGGAGATATAATCAATACGATTTCCTGATTAATTTTGCCTCAGTGTAAGGAAGAAGCATAAATCAAAAACCACTAATTTAGAGAGATATATGTACCCAATGTTCACAGCACCACTATTTACAATAGCCAAGGTATGGAAGCAACCTAGATGCCCATCAACAGGGGAATGGATAAAAACGATATAGTACATATATACAAAGAAATATTACTCAACCATAGTACAGAGTGAAATAATGCCATGTGTAGCAACATGGATGCACTTGTAGGGCACTGCTGCTGCTGCTGCTGCTGCTAAGTCGCTTCAGTCGTGTCCGACTCTGTGCGACCCCACAGACAGCATAACACTAAGTGAAATAAGTCAGAAAAAGACAAATACTGTATGCTATCACTTATATGTGGAATCTAAAAAATACAACAAACTAATGAATATAACAAAACAGAGGGGCTTCCCTGATGGTTCAGAGGTTAAGAATCTGCCTTGCAAAGCAGGGGACACTGGTTTGATTCCTGGTCCAGAAAGATTCCACATGCTTCAGAGCAGCTAAGCCCATGGGCCACAACTACTGAGCTAGCTCTCTAGAGCCCTCGACCCACAACTAGTGAAGCTGGGGTGCCTAGAGCCCAGGCTTCACAAGAGAAGCCACAGCCACAAGAAAAACCCACACACTACAATTATATAGAGTAGCCCTTGCTCGCCATAACTAAAGAAAAGCTTATGCACAGCAACAAAGACCCAAAGCAGCCAAAAATTAAAAAACAACAACAAAAAAATTCACAGTTACAGAGAACTAGTGATTACCAGCGGGGAGAAGTATAGGGGGAAGGGCAAGATATGTAAGTGAAATCAGTGAAGTCGCTCAGTCCTGTCTGACTCTTTGTGACCCTGTGGACTGCAGCCTGCCAGTCTCCTCCATCCATGGGATTTTCCAGGAAAGAATACTGGAGTGAGTTGCCATTTCCTTCTCCAAAGATATGAAAAAGGAGGTACAAATTACTAGGTATAAAATAAATAAGTTATAAGGATACAGCACATGGAATATGGTCACTATTTTATAATAAGCTTACATGGAGTATAATCTATAAAAATATCAAATTACTATGTTGTACAGATAAAACTAATATTGTAAGTCTGCTATATGTCAATGAAAAAGAAAAGGTCACTACCCAGTGTCTAGTTAGTATAACCTGGTGGATGATGGGACAAGGTACTGAGACAGAATGTAGTGGAGCAGAAAGACATAGGTGTAAGAAAAAGGGTGGAATAAAGAGTTCATTTTTGACTATGTTGAGAGTATGAGCAATCCTGGTGGAGATATCATAAAAACAGTTGGATCAGGGCCTGGGGCTGAGAGAAAGGGTCTGGGTTGGGGATGCGAATTTGAAGTCGTAAGTATATAAATGGTCATAAAACCATGAGGATACAATACATGATAATACCTGAGGATGGATAAAGTAAGGAGAAAAGAAAGAACCAGCATCAAAGAATCCAGTGTTTAGAGGGACTTCCCTGGTTGTCCAGTGGTTAAGAATCCACCTTTCACTGCAGGGGATGCAGGTTCAACCTCTGGTAGGGGAAGTAAGATCTCACATGCTGCGGGGCAAGTAAGCCTGCTTGCCACAACTAGAGAGCCTGCATGCTCTAGAGAATAAGAGAAACCCATGCACTGCGACTAGAGAAAGCAATGAAGAAGACACAGCGCAGCCAAAAAAAAAAAAAAAAAGAATCCAAAGTTAAGCATTTTACAATCTTTAACAGACAAGGAAAGGGAACAATTAATGAAACAGAAAAATTAGGCATGAATGATATTAGAGAAGGTCTCTATTGATGGGCTTTTGGATGTTTTTCAATCTTTTCCAAGAAATATCCTTGTATGTAATCATTTTTAACATATTTATCAATCTCTGTAGGATAAATAACCAAACATAGAATTGATACGTAATATACAGATCTCATTTTGAATTTAGAAGTGTTTACTCTGGGAAAAAAATTGCTTCAAAAAGCCACCAAACACAGATAGCTTAATTAACCATATTAGATGTGGTATTTGATAAGAATGGTTAAATAAATTTAATACACCCCAATAATGTAGTACACTGTAGCCATATAAAAAGAAAGAGGCTGTCAATATATTCTGATATGGAAGAGGAAAGGGTAAGCCTTGCTTTTCACAATTTTGTGCCATTTACATGTATCATTTATATTAAAAATCTTTTTTGTACTTCTACACTATACTTTAAAAAAAAGTAACCTAAAAGATCAACTTGCCTTTTATTTCTGAGAGCCACACCAACAGGATTCTGATGTTGGCATACCTGGGCCTTAAAGTATGGAAACACCCAGTTAGATATTGGATTTTATGAAACCACACTACTCTCACAATTGCTCTAACTGTGGCAAAGGTCTGAATACATGAAATTCATGCTCATCTTGAGTTCAAGATATTTTGGAATTAATTTTGCCACTTTCATTATTAGTGAATAAATCTACTTCAGTCTGTCTACTTTAGAAATGTCTCCAGGCTTATCCTGTCACCTCCCCTAAAAACGTCATTGAGGATATACTAAGTCATGTCAAGTCTGAAGACATTTTTTCTTCCAATATAGGAAGTAGTGATGATCGTATACTTTTTGTTTTCTGTTTTTAAGAAGGGCAACATAGAGATACAGGCGTGAGCTTTAAAAATTGTATCCTATGCACTAAGCTACACTAGACTAATAACTTCCATTTCCTAGAAGTGGATAGCCTATTTTTGAATAACAGTGACTATGGACTGTTAGTCACCTTACTAAGAATAATGGTAAATATATTCTTAAATTTGCTTTTAAAATTCAAAAAGAAATTTAGAATATGGAAGAATTAGCTACCTGAAGATGATTCTAGCTTTCCTACTACTAAAATTCAGTATCCATCCTTTTAAGGATTTTTACACGAATTCAAGTAAAAAAATGAGCTGAGAGGCTAGAATATGACTCCAGAAGAAGACTGTGTCAAGTATATTCATATACAAACATTCAGACTTGACTCCACCTCCCATCATCTATGTGCTCTTGCCCATCACGATTAGCATAGGATCATACCAAGTGGAAGACCACAGTCAACAGAACACTGGCTTAGGAGTTACACCCTGTATTTAAGTCCACACACACTCACAGATTTTATATGATCTTAGCTAAGTCATCTTTGCTCTATGGGCTTCAGATTTGGACTGTGCAAAATGAGGAACAGGTCCAAGGTCCTTTTTCAGCACAAACTCCCTTTGCATCTAAGTTTAGTGGCTAAAGCCTCTGCATTTCCAAGTGACAGAGGTCGGATGGAACTATTGGCCACAATCCTTCCTCTCTTCCAGCATCCTCACTCTTGCCATGGCTTCAGTGTGAGCAGAGTATATTTCCCTGCCTCTTGATTTGGGGCTTGGCCATGTGACTTCCTTTGAGCAACAGGATACAGCAGATGTAATATAAGTAGGGGCTCAAAAATGTGCATTGCTTCTTATTCCCTTTTAGTTAACAGCCTAGAACATTTTATACATGTTTACAACACAGCTCTCTGAATAGCTAGGTCATAATTAGGGTGACCCTACACCCCAATTTTCCTGGGTCAGTCCTGGCTTACATCTGGTGTCCTGGTGTAATGATTTAGGTCTCTTCACTCCCCAAAATGGTATGATTTAGTGTATCAATTACATAGTCACCACAGGAAAAAACCCTCAGTTCATCTTGAAAATTCACCCAGTTAATCCACAAGGTAGCTCCAACAACGGGACCACCCTCTTGCCCAAGCAATCATCCCCACAGCGCCTTCTTTGGATCATGGGGATTCCTGGGGTGAGGCAAAGGGTAGCCAGTATCCCTTCTTCTTACTCTGCAAGAGGCCTGCCTTCCAAATGATTCCCCTTTCCCTCCAACCTTGAGAAAACCTAAAGTCACTCACAATTAGAAGAAGCTGGGGGGCTCCCAATCTCAACTGCAGTTTCAAATAAACATATGCCATTTCCCCTATGAGATAAAGCCCATGAGTTATTGCACAGTGTGTTTGTTAACAGGACCATGTGGTATACTTTCTATCATCCAGCCCTTTTCTATCAAAAAAGCCCTAGCCTGTGGACATAGAGAGTACATGCTTTTATAAGACAGCTGGCGAGACCCTAGCTATTTATAACATTGACATCGCTCCCCTTATGTCCCAAGAGGCTCAGGTGAGAACTGGCAAGGAAGCCGACTCCAGGTGGTGAGCCTACCACTGGTAGGAAATAACCACCAGACAGTCCCGGGAGGCCTCACTTTGGAGAGCTGGTACCTTCAGAGCTTACTCTTCCCCATGCTGGCACGGAGCATGAGTACGCCCTCTACAGGAGTTCCGGGATTGTCCGCCATCTTCTGCCAGAGGCGCTGCTCTTCCCCTTGAGAGTCCATCCAATCCACGTTCTTCCCATGGCTCACACCTAAAGAAGCGAAAAGGGAGAATTATACTTTAGAAATGAAATGTTTTCATCTTCTGGACCAATACCTATCAACCTCTGCTGACCAGAAAGACCTTCACTGGCTTGTCCTCACCATATCTAGTGAGTGATATTAGCGTGGAAGACATCTTTGCAGGCGACATTACTCTCTTCTGCCTAGGTGCTGGGGAACAAATTAGGATGGCCCTGGGGAATCATTTCTTACTCACTTTGGTAGCTTAAGTAGAAAGCTGGCTCATCTAGACTGAGTTAACATGACAGAAGAACAGGCTGAACTGGGCTCCAAGGCTTTCCCTTTTGAACGAGGCCACTTCTGTGACCTGGGAGTTGTCATTTTAGTGGCAGAGATAGCCTTAATCTATACATAAGTAGAGCAAGAAAGCCAACCCTGTTACATGCAGACTGTGGCTGGCCTAGTGTTTGGATAATGAAAGTTTGCAGGGCTGCACCTGCTCTGCTGCTAAAATTTTCCCAATTCACTGTTATAGCTGTGTCTTGTGGCACCAATTCTGTGTTTCTGTGACCTGTCTGAACAACATGAGACATTATTTTTTAGGGAAAAAAATGGATTTCCTTTCAATTCAACCAGGGTTGAGTAAAGGCTGCAAGCCCTGGACAGCACTGAGAAGAACAGGAAGTCAAGTAGGTCTGGGAAGTCCTTTGCTGTGTATTGTCCTTGTCAGAAGCGTGTATCATCATGGTCGTTGTCTCCTAAGCAAATCCTGAAGTAAGGCCCAAGAAAGTAGTTGAAATTCACTCAGACTGAAGTGTAAATGATATTTTATAAAAGGTCCAAATATAAGCATTATGTACCCCAAACTTCTAGCTGAAGGATACAAACTTACAGAGTACTATTTTTAACAGTGAACCAAACCTTGGACAAAGGAATAGAGCATCTATAGAAATCTCAAGAGTCAGCTAAGCAGAAACTACAAATACACTTATGACACATCACACCTGTAGGAACCACTCCCCTGCCCCACACCGAGTCAGACTATCTAAGGGTACCCTAGTCCCTCACCGCTTCCGGAATTCAAACGAACTCCTCCCAGAAAGATGTTGCTGGAAAAGGCCTCCTTGTCCCAGATGGTAAGTTCTAGGCAAACATGTTTTATATCCTGGGGATGCAGGCCACTGAAGATGAAAGTATGATTCCACTGAGGGTTCAGACTCTTTTTTATTACCAGAGTTTTATGCTTGGTTGCTTTGCTATCATCAGGAAGCAGGTAGCTGCAGGAGAAAACACAATCAAGTCATCAGTGAGACAGTGAAGCAGAAAAGGGCATCCTTGCATAGTCATTTCAATTTCCCATAATTCCTGGTGTGTACATGGGTGTGTGTGTTTGATTATCTTTCCCAGCACCTTATATGCTTAAATCTGGGTTGATATAGTGGGATGGTTTATTATCTCTTTTAAGTGGGGGCAAGAGTAGAATGCCCACACTCTCCTTTCTAATCCTATTGGTCCTTCCCTCATCTAGAAATGAAAATACCTCCTGTGGGAGACACTCTGTAATAATGTCATGCCTCCCATCATCACTGGCTCACCTCTGTGGCGACATGATGCCAGGATGAACACTTCCTGCCATGCTGACAAGTTCCCACCTTAAGCGCCTATGTCTCTTGGCTTCTCCAATTAAGGACTTTGGTGCTCTGTGAACTGACTCAGCTTACATGCAGGAAACCTTGGATTACTGGGAATTTCATGTCCCTCAGAACAACCCTCAACCACTGAGTTTTAGAAATTGGTAGATGAGGAGACTTCCCTGGCACTCCAGTGGTTGAGACTCCCCTGCTTATATTACATGGGGCACAGATTCATTCTTGGTCAGGAAACTAAAATTACACATGTTGTACAGCACAGCTAAAAAATAAAGTGAAGTAAAGGAAATTGGTGGACGAGTCTCCCAGCTTTCCTGTCCCTTGAAGGGACAATCCTAAGGTATATTTCAAAGAGTTGCTTAACACTTCATTAGTGGAAATGAGCCCATTTGACCACAGTAGGAACCTGCCTAGTAACATTTTTATCAGCTTCTCTCCCTTCCCTGTCTCATTTTCCTTACTCTGTTTTTGATCATAGTACCTGATGAGTCAGGCACTGTTGGGAAGGAAACTTATGGATATGGAATTAGTACATCAAATTAACATGAACAATACCACAAATGATCTTACAATAAAGAAGACACATTATGACACTTGCGATTTCATTTCATGTACCAAACAGATACTGCTTATCTCTGAATATTCATTCTATTTGTCTCCACAAAAGAAAGTCCTAATTTTGTCAGTTAGGCACAAGATTGTCCAGAATAAAGACTACATTCCCCAGCCTCCCTTGTAGCTCATATAGTCAGGTGACTAAGTTCTAGCCAATGGGATACCTTACCTTTAGTGTTTGTTTCCATACAAAGACTGTTGTTTAAGACACTCTTATGTTGGCTCATGGACCGAGTACTTAAGGTTATACATTATAACATTAAATTTTATAGAAGGGACTATTCTTGCTCTCTCATGCTCTTTTTTTTTTTAATTGAGGTTCTTTTAAAATCAGCTCAATGGTTAACTGTAACTAGGGACAGAATTTACTAGAAAGTTACTGGCCTTAAAAATACATCCTTTATTTTCTCTTCTTTCATACATGTTTCAACATGATGAAGTAAAAACTGTTTAAGAAGAATGTCAAGTCATTCGTCCAAGGGCACAATGAGTTCATGAGCAAGGAGCCATCCCCTCATCCCACCAGTGAGCAGGAAGAGGCCTGAACTGGATGGTAGGGCTGGGGAGACACATTTCAATGGCAGGATCTGCATAAAACCTTTCTTCTGTGCTTAATCCTACTGTGAGGAAGAGTCAAGGACAGATGGCCGGGAATTCAGGCGCACACACTCACCAGCGGGGAAGACCCAGACAACTGGCTTCTCTTATTATCGCCCTTACCAAAGCTAGAAGTGTAAGCATAAAGGTTTGACTCATTTCCTCATGGAGGAAATTACACTTTTCTAAGGAGGAAGGAGGAGAGGAATGATACTGTCATCTGACAAAGAAGTAACGTCACAGCAGGCATCATAGGAATTTGTTTTACCTTATGCAGCTTGTGGTACTCTCTGTAAATAGGGTCCACATCTTATATTGGGAACTGCAAGACTTAACCACGTGGAACATGCGCATTTATGTGTTTGTCTGAATGGATGAAAAATATCCTTCTGGTTTTACTTTTTCTGATTATAAGAGAAAAATCTCAAATAGAAATCAGGAGGGATTTGTTGTTTGGGTTACCTCGAATGGGTAAGATGCCCATTAAAAGGGATGTATTCCCTCAAGAAACTGCCCTAAGCTCCACAAAGTGGGCACAAATGCCCAAGAGTCAGTCTTGGAGCTTCTCCAAGGCACTTCCCGGTGGATATCTCGAGGGACAATGCTCTGGCATCCCCACTTTTTACAATGTCCCCCAAGAGAGAAAAATTTCAAAGATCCAATATTTTGGTTGTTGTCACATACTGCCAGCACCAAAAGATAGCAAAGCACAATACAAGAATATTACGTGTAGAAAGCTAAACTTTTTCCTCCTTTGAGAACTAAATCTCACAGGAAAATTCGCCAGGTTTGAGGGTGAGAGTCACGGGAATCCTGAAATGCGCTGGAAGCAGATAGAGCTAGAATAAGCAGATCCCTCTCGTGTTGTTTGCAATGAAAGCACCAGTACTCAAGGGGAGCACTTTCCTAGCACACATTTAGAATAAATCAGAAACCTCACAGCCCCCCCGTCTCCTGTTTCATCTCTCACTAAGTACCACTGAAAATAAGCTCAAACCAAATTACCCCTTCACAAAGCTATCAGAAGTGCCTCCTGATTTCACCGCGGTCAAATTCTTTGCCTCTTTGATGAACACTTCTAGGATTCCTCCAGAGATGATACATGGATCCTTCTTTTTTCCTCGTTTAAAGGACTTCTTTCCTGCATTAGTCATCAGAGACAGAGAGAGATGAAGGATGGGAGGGAGGGAGGGAGTGGGGGAGAGAATGAAAGAAAAAGAGAGAAAGAGAATGAGGGAGGGGGAAGAGAAAAGAAGGGAAGAGAAGAGAGAGAGATCATGGGGTCCATTTCAAAACTGACAAAGACTACAAAGATTTATTTCATTTGCTGAGTGAATGAGTTATGTACATTACTGTATATGTTTCCATGAATTCACTTAAATGTTTTTTACCCTAATAGAATCTTTCTGGATCTATCTTTCATTTGTATTTGTTGAAAAAAAATAAACAAGTTAAAAAAAATTAAATACTCCCCTAAATCGTATAAAGGGATAAAACAGAAAACACCCCAAGAGCTGCCTGGGCCACATCCCTGCTCCCCATGAGAAACAGCTACAATGAAAGCCACACATAGGTGCCAAGATGCACATCGAGAAAATTCCATAACTCCTGCCTTGGATATTATAGTCAACTCCATGCCTGGCCAGCTCTAAAGGCTAAAGTCAAGGCACAATTTCATTTCAGGGTGAGAGAAAACACTTCCCACACCACATTTTTATTCTGGTGAAATATTCTCAACATGAATAATGACCAATGCCGCCACCACCTTTATTTAATAGTGTTGTAAGCACTTTACAGGAATGAACCTATTTAATAGTTGCAGTATCCCTATGAAGTGAGGAAACTGAGGTCAAGAGATAGGAAATTACTAGCAAAGGGTCACCATGACAAGGGTGATATGAACAGGATAACGTGTGCTATCTGTAGGAGTTGAGGAAAGAAGGGCAAGAGTGATTTAAATGTGGACTGCATCTGGAATTTTCCTTTGTTTTCTGTGTTCCAGGTTAATTTCTTTCTTAAGATGCCCTGAGTAACTGTGAACCTCATAAATCCAGACAGCAGCTTCCTACACCTCCCCTCTTAGTAGACCATCCCCCATTTCTGCCCCCCTCCCAACCCAGGGGAAGATTCTATATACCCTGGATCTCCAAGAAACAAATATCAACATAAAGGTTCATTTCTAATTATGAACTCTGTCCTTTTCTTGTAACAACCCTCCCCCATATATAGCATCTGTGTGTGTGTGTGCATGTGTGTGTGTGCATGTGTGTGTGCGTGCAAAATCACTTCAGTTGTGTCTGACTCTTTGCAACCCCATGGACTGTAGCCTGCTGGGCTCCTCTATCCATGGGATTCTCCAGGCAAGAATTCTGGAGTGGGTTGCCATTTCCTTCTCCAGGGGATCTTCCTGACCCAGGGATCGAACCCATGTCTCGTATGTCTCCTGCATTGGCCGGTGGGTTCTTTACCACTAGTACACCCTGGGAAGCCCCATATATAGTATATACTTCTCAACTCTCCATAAAGGACAGTGATACTTAACCCTTTTCACTTGATGTGAGTTGGCCAAAAAGTTCATTACAGAAGATGCTATGGAAAACGCCAAATGAACTTCTTGGCTAACCCAATAACATAGTCCACCCAATCCCTGCTCCCTATTTCCACGCTTCTAGAAATGGAACATCACTGATCAAAGTCAATGATTTTTTTCCTCTACCTTGAAGCTGTTCTAGTGGAGGCATCAGCTTCTCCTCTGGTGGTATGTAACGTAACATGACTGTCAGCTCTCCTTTGTACTGAAGGCTAATATCAGCAGCACATTCCACCTGGCCAAGAGGAAACAGGTAAAAAGAAAAATTCAGAATGCTTAAAATTTTGTAGCCCATGTTTGAATATACAATATTTACTAGGTGGCATAGATGTGACACTTAATTCCACTTCAACTATGTTGGCACTTACTGGTTTAAAAGCTGCTTCAGGCATGATAAAAGAAAGGCTGGAAAATTCTATGAAGGTATTTGCATAGAAATCCCTTCAGTCCCAGCTGACTGTGCGACCCAATAGACTGAAGCCCGCCAGGCTCCTCTGTCCCTGGGGATTCTCCAGGCAAGAATACTGGAATGGGTTGCAATGTCCTCCTCCAGGGGATCTTCCCAAACTAGGGATTGAACCTGTGTCTCTTATGTCTCCTGCATTGGCAGGTGGGTTCTTTACCACTAGCGCCATCTGGGAAGCCCTTTAAACCTTAAAGTAAAAGGAATTTGAAAGGCAAGATGTAACACACATTTGGTGAATCAGCGGACACTGAGCGCCTGTGATGCACTGAGGTCTAGACCCATCACTAAACATATACAAATAATTTGGGGCAATGAAGCAAAAATAAAGATCTCAATGATAACAGCCCCAGAGGATACTTCTTTCTGTCTGCCCTTGATGTCACAAGGGTCTCCTACCTAAGTGACCAAGAAAGGGAAAGTAGGCAATAATGTCTGACTCAAATTGGGCTGCCAGTCACCAACTCTGAACAGCTACACTGGTAATTCACATCATTAAAATTCAATGTGGAAAAAGTGGTACACTCCAACATTGCTGGTGCGACTGTAAAATGGTATAGCCACTCTGGAAAACAGTTTGGCATTTTCTTAAAAGATTAAACAATACTTGGGCATTTATCCCAGGAAACTAAAAGAATGTGTACACTGAAAAATTCTGTACATACATATTTGCTTCATCTTTATTTGTAGTAGTACAAAACTGGAAAGAAACTGTATGTCCTTCAATAGGTAACTAGTTAAATAAACTGTGGTACAGCCATACCACAGAGTACTACTCAGTAAGATAAAGGAATGGCTAGTGATACCTGCAACAACTTGGTTGAATCTCTAGAGAATGATGCTGAGTGAAAAAAGTCAGTATAATAGGATAACATACTATATGATTCCGTTTATATAACATTCTTGAAAAGACAAAATAATAGATATAGAGAACAGATTCAGGGTTGCTAGGGGTAAGGAATGGGGTTCCCAGGAGGCTCAGATGGTAAAGGATTTGCCTGCAATGCAGGAGATCCGGGTTCAATCCCTGGGTCAGGAAGATCCACTGGAGAAGGGAATGGCAACTCACTCCAGTCTTCTTGCCTGCAAAATCTCATGGATGGAGGAGCCTGGTGGGCTGCAGCCCATGGGGTCACAAAGAGTCAGACATGACTGAGTGACACAAAAAGGTGTTAGGAATAGGGGTGGCAGGAGGGAGATGGGTGTGGTTAAAAAAGACCACAAAGGATCTTTTGAGGATGGACCTGTTCTGTATCCTGGCTGTAGGGCTGAATACACAAAGCTACAGTGCTGCAGTGCCAAGTCACTTCAATCATGTCCAACCCTTTGCAACTCTATGGACTGTAGCCCACCAGGCTCTGTCCACGGGATTCTCCAGGCAAGAATACTGGAGTGGGTTACCACACTCTCCTGCAGGGGATCTTCCCAACCCAGGGATCCAATCTGTGTCTCTTACACCTCCTGCATTGGCAGGTGGGTTCTTTACCACTAGTGCCATCTGGGAAGCCCAATACAAAGCTACACATGTGACAAAATTGCATAGAAATTAATATGCATTCACACAAATGAAAACTGAGGAAATCTGAATAAGACAAGTGGATTATATCAACATTACCACCTTGGTTGTGCCACTGCATTATAGCTTTGTCAGATGTGACCACTGGGGGAAACTGCATAAAAGGTATATAGGATCTCTCCATGTTATTTTTTACAATAGCATGGGGATCTACAATCTTCTCAAAATCCAATTTTAAATTTGAAAATTCAGTGTGAGCACATACCCAAAGCCTTTGTTCTAAAGGTCTCCCAATGAGTCAACTGAACTTTAGACTTTTCATAAATAGGGTAAGAAAAGTAGAGTACTTCCTCAGACTTTTCTTGAGGGAACTTGACTGCTGACCAATGATTCAAGGGCTGAGAGCTGCTTTGCTATGAGAGAGGGCAGACTGAAAGAATTCAGAAACCCCCAAACCCACAAGAAAGCCCGAGGCTATTCAAACCTCAGCAAAAAAGACTGAGGCTGACAAAAGGAAACCTTGCCTGACTTTCCTTCATTTCAGTTCAGTCGCTCAGTCGTGTCTGACTCTTTGTGACCCCATGGACTGCAGCACACCAAGACTGCCTGTCCATCACCAACTTCCGGAGTTTACTCAAACTCATGTCCATTGAGTTGGTGATGCCATCCAACCATCTTCATCCTCTGTCATCCCCTTCTCCTCCCACCTTCAATCTTTGCCAGCACCAGGCTCTTTTCCAGTGAGTCAGCTCTTCGCATCAGGTGGCCAAAGTATTGGAGTTTCAGCTTCAACATCAGTCCTTCCAATGAATATTCAGGACTGATTTCCTTTAGGATGGACTGGTTGGATCTCCTTGCAGTCCAAGGGACTCTCAAGAGTCTTCTCCAACACCACAGTTCAAAA